TGTGATTAAGGGTTTCAACCTCTTATTCCTGAAGATGAAGGGTGGGGCTGGGTTTGTTTGTCTTTCCTGGGTTCGTATTTGTGTTTTTGCCAAACTAATGCAGAAACTGGTGGTGTACAAGGTGGCCTTGCTCCTGTCACCTCATGGCTAGCACTGGCAGTTCTGGTTTTGCCTGGTGATTTTCCTCCCAAAGGTACCTCTAAGTATGGTCTTCTCTGCCAGTGTTGCTGGTATGGAGTCTGGCCCTAAGGAGCAATGAGGACAGGCTTCTTTTTAAACTGAAGCATATTATAAATAGTAAAAAACCCCAAACCAAAAGCTGTGTGGGAATCATTTTGCTTTTGAGCTCCTGCGGGCAGCATGTTGCTAGGGCTTGCACCAGGCCTGTGCCAGCCACACGCAGGCATTTCACGTGCTGCTGGCGTTAATATAACTGTACAGTGCTTGGATGCTAACTCTCTCACTCAAGGAGGTCTGAGTGTAACTTGTGCAGATTAAATTTTCTTCTTTAGGTCTGAAGACATATTTCAGATCTTGTAAACAGAGGCATAGTAGTGAAGGTTGTGCTTTCAAGCCAGACTGCAAAAGACAGCGCTGAAAGCACCGAAAGAAATTCATAGGAGGTGTAGGGCTGCAGCACAGTGAAGCTGGTACAGTCTGGTGGTGCATGAAGGCAGAGGGGAGATAGCAGATTCGGTTTGCTGATTTAGGGTGCCTTACACTGGCAGCTGGACTCCTGATTTTATTGTTTTTAATTTCAGGGGACAGGTGGTGCATATGCGGAGATTTTTCAAAGGTATTTTTGACTTTGCCTGCATGCAAAACAAACAAAACCTTAACTACTTCTACAGTGACAATGGACTCCCTTGCTTTCAGCGATATATGTAGCAATTGATACTTGAGTGAAGCTATTTTTGTTTTAGGAGAGCCATACTTCAATGTAAGTTAGATGAGCAAAAAAGTGACTTGTTTTCAATTTCCTCTAATAAAGAAAATGAGCACAAGCCCCTCTTGAAGTCCCACTTCAGAAGGTCATGAAATTTATGATCTGTGCTTTTATTTCCTTTGAGTTTGACAAAACCTCCTTAAAGGTTGTTAGCTCATAAAATTCCCAGAAAATAGTGCAGAAAAGACATTATGGAAGACTGCAAAATAAGCCTCACATATACGCTGGAGTTTATTTTTAGTAAGGAAACTCAAAACTTCCTTTGCAAATGTTTAGTTCAAACACCTGATGAGCAGCAGGGAGTTATCCTGAGTCTTGGCATCCTTGTTTCCTTCCACTAAGGTGGCACAGATTTACTTGTTCTTTCCTTTGGGGCTTGCATTGGAAAGATGTGTTCAGAAAAAGATTTTCTTTCATTCCTGGAAGATTGGGTTTTGTTTTGTTTGCACGGTCATCTCTTTCTTGGAGAATCTGTACAGGTGGACTAGACTCTATCCTTTACAAAGTGATGTTAATACTTTAAATGCAAGTTCTCTCTTCCTTTGCATGAGACTCAAACTCCAAAGTGAGGTTGTCTCTGATGCTTTTCGCAACTGAGCACAGCATTTTCGCCCATTATTGTCTGCATGTTCTA